ATAAGTTCTACTTTCTGCATTTTACAATTCTGCAATTTATTTAAACTAATTATTTTCCAACATTGACGTGGGAATGAACGTGTGGCAAAAATCAGGGCAATCTAAGAGCATAAACAACCGAGAAGGGTAACAAGACTTTGAACTTTCCTAGGTTTGATTGGTTATTATTGGAAGTTCATACAAGAATATTTCCCTCCGACGGAAGTCACGGACCTCCTGAAGAAGAATAAGACATGGGATTCGTCAGATAAAATGTCAAAGGGGCTTTGGTGATTTGAAGGCCAGTCTTAGTATTACCGGATTTCACCAAGACTTTCAAGGTACAAATTGGTGGAGTACTCGTGCAAGATGGGCATGTAATCGCTTTTGAGAGCCTCAATTGGTTGCCACTGGTTATATTTCCCCGACAAAATAATTGATGGTGGATGATTCAGAATGAGATATGATGAAAGATAAGATGAAGACTAGGGAATTTTCAGAAACCAATTGTTGCATTGCACTGTATTCAGATGTTGAATTAGATTCAGTTTGACAGCTGAGGAAAAAGTTTTTTCATAGAATATAGATATGTTTTTCTTCTTTATTTTGTGTCAAGAATCTGAAGTTTTTGATGTAAATTATTGGCATTTGGGTGTTGGCTTATTACTTCGGATGCAGTTTTTACAGTCGGATTTATCAGCTGTGTTTATGTTGCCTTGCTTGTGAAAATGATTGTATGCCTGCTTGACATAATATTCTGTTCATAGGGTGCAAATTAATGGAAATTTACACTAACCATGTTCAAAGGATGGGGTGCAGTCAGCAGGGTATGCATTTCTCTGTTGTGCATTGCAGAGCCGTATCGCCAGTCCATCGCAGTATATATAATAATCTGAGAAACAAACTGGTCTTGAATCTTGAAAAGATCTGAATGTAAAAATCAAGTAATGCATCACAACTTGAACAGTCTGCAATTTCAATTTCATTCATTCGTAATATGTGTATCTGTGTAAACCTTTGTCAGGGTAGTTTGGGCCAAAGTTTGAAATGCTGAAAGAGGAGAATTTCGGATTAAAAAATCTAATCATTGGACTGACTATATATCGAGTTTAATACTTAGACATTGATTTCATGAATGTATTTGCTGATACAAGAATATTACTTCTGTAGTGGAGAATCACTTTTACGATTAATGTACAATAAAGAATTTGTCACGTTTAAGTTGAAATTCTTTGTTTTCTTTTCATTTCCACCACTGTTCCATTGTATAAACGTTACTTCAGGACTCTCGGAATTTATTGTGTTGACCAATTCTAACCAGTCTGACAAACTAGACAATGAATACCAAGTACCAACAGATAAACAAGTCAGAGGAGAATCAAATGACCATTTTATCAAAAAGAAAACTCAAGTGTAAGATAAAATCAACAAATCGAATCAAATCAAGATCACAAGTGAAAACGTACTGAATGGGCATAAAAAAAAGTGACTTGCAAAGGAATTATCCAACATTAACAACATGGTGATCAACCAATTACAATAAAACCACGAAACAATCAGCATTATGCATGTACACTATCTAGCGCTACTATAAAGCCAGCTTTAATTGATGACTAATTGCAAACTCATGGAAACATTAATAGTGCCAAAGACTAGGGAAAAGAATCCAATTAGGCACCAACATCAGATTTAGCTATGTAATAATCAATTCAGTAGCTACACCTTATTGACAAGGAAAAATTGTGCTCCGAAAAGAATGCGCAGAGAACCACAATGGCAGGGTGGCATTGTTCTTCACCGAATACATCTCCTTCCAAACTCGGCTATTTCTCTGATACACCAACACTTGCTTGTGTGTTGCAAGGAAAACATATTCACCAGTCTGACTGATTGGAAAAATGCCAGGCACCATCCCTCTAATACATCGTAGACTCACCCTGTCCACCATATGCCATTCTTCCTTCTCATAATTTTCCATCATAAAAATATTCATCCAGACCTCTGAAATTTGAATCACAGACAAAAGCCCATCCGACTCCAACAAATAAATCCGATTCCCACTCCCAGAATTCACTTCATCTGGCAATGAGATTTTCCTCCAAATATCAGAATCCAAATTCAGAACAAGCACACAAGAACAACTCGCAGTCAACCAATGCAACGCTCCATTAATGAACACAACTTGATTTGTATTCATGTGTGTAAAACGATCATCTTGCAAAGAAACAGACTTCCTCCATTTATTTGATTCCGAATCAAAGATCAGACATATAAAAGTCCTCTCAGGCCTATGCCCAAATGACCTATGATGCCCCGCCAACACAACATTATACTTCCCTGTCAACAAATTGCAAGCCAAACCAACAAGAGTGGCTTCACCATCAGGATAAAACCTAGTAATTGGCCTTTCCCTACTCCTCGGAAGCAACTTATACTGTCTAGTCATTGGATTACAAACATAATAAACACCCTTATCAGGAATGCTAGAACAACATAATAATCCATTACAAGAAGCCCTAACTCTGACTCTGTCCTTGATAAAATCCAATAAAAACTCAGACACACCCCTTATATTATCAACAAGAATTAAACTTGATCTTGATTCTGATAAAGATTCATTGACCTCTACAAGCACCATAGGATTCCTAAGAGAAACCTCATTGTACAGCCGCGTAAAGTATCTTTCAGAGGTTAATTTGTACCAGAGTTTGCACACACATTTAGTTCTAAAAAGGGATTTAATGGGCAATCTAGCGAAAATTTGAACCATAATTTCATCTGGGAAAACCCCGTTTTCCGAATTGCAGTGATTCATTTTCTATTTTCGAGAAATGATACGAAAAATTGCAAAAAGAATCAAGTAAAGGTCCAAGAAATGCTTACCCCCATTACATGGCATCGCGAGAAACAAGGTTTTCCGGGATACTTTGTACCAATTATGTGAATTTTGAGAGAAAAAAAATACTCCCCCTTTGAATTAAAGGGAAAAACGCGTTCAATTTTGGGGGAAAATGCTAGATTTTGATTAGGAAATAGAATAGAATATGTCGCTAGAGATGGACGGTTGAGATAGGTGATTATAGATGATGGATCTGGGCTTTGACCAAATTTAGTTGGGCTGACATGAAGTCCACTAATTTTATAGAAAATCATCTCCCTGGACTTTTATGCAGTTAACAAGAAAATGGAGGGAATGGGTTCTGGCAACTTTGGCCCATGAGGTCCTAGTCCAATGGCTTCTTGATTTGGGCTAGCTGAGTTTACTTTTGGGAAAATTACATAAATCCAGGTCTTTTAAAACTACAATTCAAAAATCAGAGATAAAGTTTCCCAATTCAAAAATCAGGTATCAAAAATATTATAATACAAATTTCATCGCAAACCTTAATTAATATCCCATACCTTCTCTCTCCATCCCTCTTCCCATCTCTCTCTCTCTCTCTCTCTCTCTCTCTCTCTCTCTCTCTCTCTATCCCTTATTTCCTCTCCTCTCACGAAAACACAACCACCATCGTCGTCGCTGTGAAGAAGCTACCCTAATACAGATGCTCCATTTGCATCTGTATTAAAAATTGTTCATTTGACCTACAAAAAATACATTTCTACTTAAAAGATTTTTGTATTTAAAATACTACATCTCAAGCTTCTTTGGATATGGTATGCAGGTTGTTGGCTCAAATAAAGGTGGAGTGTGGCAGTGGTGGAGGGCCTTCGTGGATTTGTTCCCCTTTCACAAATATCAACAGTTAGTTCTTCTTTTGGCTTGCACATGAATCTTTATATGAGGCCATTTTCTCTCTTGTTCTCTTTCTCTCAATTAAGTTGCATTATCTATTACTTACAGTTCTCTCTATTTTTTTTTCTTTCTAATTTTGTTGCTCTATGTTCTGAAGTACATTCCATGTTGCAATATGCGCATCTGGTAAAATGTGGCTGTTTTGAATCTAAACACTAATTACTTTCATAAAATAAAATTATTCTTTCCCGAAGTTGATGCAAAAATAGTGATCCTCTGGACTATTTGTTCATGTGTTTTTTCTATTTAGTTAAGGAAACCATCATTTTTTCAGTATATATGAATTTCAGGGTGAATGTGTGATGCCACGTTGGTAGCATTCTTGCTTTCATTAGATGTCAAATTTCTACACTATCTCCTTGTGTGTGGCTCGGTGTGTGAAGCAACTCTCTTCAGCCTCTTCCAAGTAGAAGAGGCGGAGTAGGGAACCGCTGCAAGTAATG